TCTGCCAAGTTGAAGAGGAAAGATACATGTTTCACCATCAAAAATAACAGAGCAGTTTGTCACCACACACAGTGTTCCATGTACTGCCAAGGCTTCTGTCAGACTGATTTTAAATATCCCCTACTGACAACTAGGATATTCCTTGAACACAGGAAGATAGTACAGAAACTTTCTCACAGAGAGTGGGTACTTTCTTCCAGCATTAAGAAACAAGACACAGTAATATAAGAAGAATGATGACTGAGCCGTTCCAAAATATGCAGTGATGAGATAGGGTCAGATGCCAGGACTCATGCCTTTGCCCTCTGTGTTGCCAGTGAACATGCTGACCCCAAGCTCATAAGGGAATGTCAGGAAGCCCAGTGAAGCTCAGTAGTTTTTTTAAGCAGACAAAAGTCAAATGTCCAAATCATGATGAACAGCTCATTTCTATTCTTATAAAACTTTGGAACCACCTACGTGTTGTACCACCACAAGAGAGTGTAAATTAAAAGCAAGAGCAAAACAAGAGGCAGCCCAAGACAGTGAGGTGCCGTGTCATGAGGTGCATTAATGGAGGGACATTTGATGCCCCAGCCCCAACTACTGCCTCTCTCCTGTCAGCATTCCCACAGTAAGTGTGCCAGGAAGGATCCTACGGAAACATATAATTGGGGAGTTTGTACAGAGTTTGGCTTTCAGTTCCAGAAACAAAGTGTTTGGCCATGCATTAGGCACAGAAAGCAATAGCAACAGGCTGAGATCACATGAAAACTCCTGTCTCAGGTTGTCTTCACAATTCTCTGTGTTGCAGGGGGAAAAAAGGGAAATCACTGCTTGGTGAAAGCAAAGGTAAAACTTAGTGGGAAGCTGAGACAAAGAAAAAGGAAAAAGTCACCCTCTTCCCTCCCGCTTATGTAGCTCTTCTTCCTTCTGCTTCTGCCTACACAATCCAGCTGCCTCCCTTGTTGAGGACTCTGTCAGGCACTGAACCTTTCCATAAGGCAATTTTATTCATCATCACTGTAGATGAGTATCCAGCTTGCTGTGTCTGTTCCCTGCTGCCTGACTCAGCTGAGCTGACAGAGGTGCCAAATGAGGAGCAGATTAGCCCTAGGCAAGCAGTTTGAGCATGTAGAAGACTGGGGGAACAGAGAGGACAGGGACATTCTTCCTTCAAACAAAGAAAGAGCAGCTGAGCTCTTAGGACAAGCTCATTTCCTAGGAAACACATCTTCACAGTACTGCTTCCTGGCTGGGCTATCCAGCTAAACTGAAACCCTTGGGAAGTCCCAATCCTCTTTTAATTGAGCTAAATTCTCTGTAAGCTAAAAAAATCCAGGAACATCTCATGCCTGTCAGAGGAGACCAACTTTCCTAAAGGGTGGCTACAACAACCAATTAAAGAGAGTTAACTAAGTTAATAGCAGTTTCAAAAATTGCATTGGCAACTAGTGGAAGGCATTCCTCAGTCAAAACATTGACTGACTCTTCCTGGTTCCAGATTATACAATTTAATAGTAATATTGTTTTTTTAAAGAACCATCAAAACCTTATTTTATTATATAGCAGTAAACTGAAAAATCTGCAGTGAAAAGAAAAAAAAAAAAAGGCTGAGGAAAATATTCTCTCATTTCAGTGTTTAATTGACAAGTGCAAACATAAGGCTCTCATTCTGCAAGATGTGTGTGTCATTCCACGAAAATCAATTCACACATGTGGGCAACAAGCAGTAAAAAGGCAGCGCTGAGTGCCAACACTGTGCTGTGAGTTTTAAACCAGTGAAGAAAAAAAACCAGCAGATAAAATACCAAACTGAGATTTCATATACCTTCATGGTGCTGCAGGCACTGCCCCTGCCTAACAGATAACCTTGCAAATATTCCTCTATGCATGGCTTTTCCTTTCTACACAGAAGGTAATGGAATAGGCACACCCATACTTCCTTTTAGCCAGTTCTCATAAAGCTTTGCACAAGAGCACTGCTATTAGTATGCACATATGGCATTTCACCAGGTGAGTAATTTTGCTAAACACTCATAAATAAGGTAACTTACCTGAATCTTTGCTAGACTAGTGCTAGTTTCTCTTCACATAAGAGTAAGAGATGTGTTTTCATATCCTTTTTTATTTTTGCGTGGGAGAAGGTAAAACTGTCATAAGAAGCTTCAACTGTCAGAATAATTTGGGTAGGTCCTAAGGCATCTAGGACACGGGGAGTGGTTACTAAGTTATGGTATGATGACACAAGCTTTTTCCCTATAGAAATGCTGTACACCTACATCCTCAAAATTGACCAGATGGGGTGCATAAGTCTCAGACACGGTAGCTACAATGCTTTCCAAAAGAAATGGATTTTCTTTGTTAAAGGCTGAGTCATCTAAAATCAATCATGCTGTCATACATCAGGTTGCTGAACTATCAATGAATTACACGCATATGTCATTTTTGACTTACTACCAGCTTATAAACCACTCCCTTTGGATTTTTACCAGAAGGAAATAAATTAGAAAACTATTCGTTTTTCCAGAGCAGACAGGTGTTGTGACTTCTCCCATGGCAAATTTGAAGGAATGTAATACTCTCTTCAACACCTTATCATCTTTTGTCAGTGTTGAAATGCTCAGCTTTTGGCAAGCTTAGCTCGTATTACCCTTATGCAGAGACAAGAATTTCAGCCTGATCTTAGCTCAGAGCTTTTCTATTCTACTTTTCCTTTTTTCACCTCAATTTTTGTTTCAGTTCATAATGACGCAAGCTTTTAAAAAATGCAAGAATATTGTAGCTTGAAGCAAAACAAAATGGCATAAATGTTCAAATGTCAAGGAAATGCTCACTGACATCTTAAAATGTCTGTTGCTTTGAAATGCCCCACACAAAACAGGAAATTCCACTTTGGCTTTACTACTGTAAGAAAACCACTTTGGCTTCCTGTTAACAGAAAGACATGTCTCATATAAATGAAGTAAGCCCAGGCTCTCATTACAATTGGTTACTTTTGTATGATTGAACAAGCAAAACAGCAGAAAAAAGCCAAAAGCCCAAATCCCAACCACAAAACAAGGAGTTCCTCACAAAGAAGTATGCTTACATGGACTCCTTTGCTACTTGAAGAGTTAAAAAAAATCAAGTTTTCATATTAAATCTGGAATAGACATGTAAGCTTACAGGTTGACACAATAGACACAGCATGCCCATAGTTTTCCAATTTAGAAATAAATAATTTTAAATGCTGATTTTCTACAGAGTTTTAAGTCAAATATCACATTTTTATTTCTCCTCCATCCTCTACTGTCCCAAATCAGCCTTTTCTCTCAATACAAGGGCTTTCTCCAAAATTAGGATTATTTGCAAAAAAGAGAAAAGTACAGGCCACATAGTGCTCAGAACTACAAGGCTTGTCTGGCCCAGCTCAACAAGCCACTTAAGCATGTGCTTATTTTCAAGACCTAAGTGAAGGTGCTTTGAAGAAAAATGGTGTTTACATGCTTTGTTTCACGAGAAACTCGCACCCATTATAGAAAATGTACATGTAATTTGACCTCCAATATTTATCAATTACTCAGCACCAGGTAGTTACCAATGAGATGGACCAAGCAGATTAATCCCGACACTTCTAACTTTCAATCTGCTCTCAGCAGCTAATTGACATCACATCAGTGTGAATGGTGAAAGATTTAAACAAACAGACAAACAAAAATCAACCAAAAAGAACCCAACTTCAAAATGGGCTCTGTATTTAAGATGCAATTACTCTAATCCAAATTGCACCAGGCATTAAGCTTGCTTAATGTCTGTCAACTTCTAGTTAGAATTAGTGACCTGAGGAAATCACCACTCATATGATGATTTCCTGAAAACAATAGTTTTTTAACCATCCAAGGTTTTGTATCTTCTTCCCATTTTAGTCGTTGTCACCTACTTCCAGGTCTCAGCTAACATTTGTTCCCCACTAGCAGACCAACCCCAATTATTATGTCCTGACACAATATCAGTCCTTACCCTCAAACTCCAAAACCCCTTTACATGTGAGGCAGGGATGCCATACCAAGCACTGGCCTCCTTCTGCATTTAATCCATTTCCCTGGTCCTCTTTCTCTAAAGCCAATATCAAAGCAGCCTACAACCTTCCCTCAATTTCCTCTTTCTTACAGCTTGCAGTCTGGTCCTCAGTTCTCACACTCAGCATAACCTTAGCTGCCATTTTTTTGTGCACTGAGTCATAATTCCATGTCTCTATTTTAATAGAAAAGCTGATGAGTTTTAAAAATGCAATATCAACAGTTGAACTAATCACTACACAGATGGAAAAGATTTCACGTGTTCTTATTAGCACTATTAAAATAAAAAAAAAAAAATAATAAGGCCAGTCTTCGTGAGCGAAGATCCGGGGAAGGTCTTTACACCTTCCAGCCTGCGCATTGGATTTTTTAGGTGAGACACAGTGTGCGCGGAACTGAGCCCACCCTTTAATCCTAAGGTTCATCTGCCGGGGCCAAGCGAGCTTGGACGGTGGCAGCGAGGTCCTTAGGACGTAGATGGATTACCTTACACGGCTAACAAGCTCCATCTGCCTGGGGAGTGGCCCTGACCGGGAATCGAACCCGGGCCTCGGCGGTGACAGCGCCGCGCCCTTACCACTAGACCACCAGGGGCTCCTATTAATCTTTGTTTTCTCCATCAAGTTATGATAAAACATATAAAGATAGGTGACTACGGCTGCATCTCTATAGTGTACTTTGCTTAAAAAGATAAATTGTGTTCGAAACTAATGACAAAGAATATCTTTATAAAATAACCAACAGAAGATTATCACAGTTTCGGTACTGGCATTTGAGAATGGTGGGCTGTAGCGGGTAGACCCTGGCCAAATGCCAGGTACCCACTAAAGCCGATCTATCAATCTCCCTCTACAACTGGACAGAGGAGAGCTAAAAAAACCAGCTAAGGATTCATGAGCTGAGATAACAATTGGGAGAGGTCAGTCACTGATCACCTTCACAGGTAAAACAGACTCAAAGTGGAGATATTACTTAATTTTATTACTAACAGGATCAGAGCAAAAGAGTGAGAAGTAAAATAATCTTAAAAACACCTTACCCCCACCCCTCCTTCCTTCCATGTTCTCCCTCCTCCCCCTCACCAGTGTAGGGGGACAAGGAATGGAGGTTACGGTCAGTTGTTGTTTCTGCCACAGCTCAGAGAGAGAGGGGTCCTTCCCCTGCTCCTGTGGGGTCCCTCCCATGGGAGATAGTCCTTGATGGACCTCTTTGGTGTAAGTCCATCCCTCTGGCAACAGTTCTTCACAACACTGCTGTCCCACGGGTCACTCCTCCATGGGGTGCAGTCCTTCACCAATGAGCTGTACTGGTGTGGGTTCCCCACAGGGGCCACAAGTCCTCCTTGAGAATAACCTGCTCCAGTGTGGGCTCCTTTCTCCATGGGATGCAGGTCTCTGGCAGGACCCTGCTCCGTCTTGCACCTCCCACAGGATCACAGCCTCCTTCCTGCATCCACCTGCTCCAGCATGGGCTTCTCCATGGGCTGCAGGGGGGTCTCTGCACCCTGATGGTCCTTCATGGGCTGCAGGCCCACAGCTGCTCCACTAAGATCTTCACCACAGGCCACAGGACCCTCAGCTCCGGTGCCTGGAGCACCTCCTCCCCCTTCTTCTGCACTGACCTTCGTGTCTGTCTTGTATCTTCCATGTTCTCACTCCACTCTTCCCTGGCTGGAATTCTTTCTGCGCAATACCTTTCTGTTCTTAAACATGTTATCACAGAGATGTTACTATTACTCCTGATTGGCTTGGCCTTGGTCAGCAGCAGGAAGCCTGTTTTGGAGCTGACTGGCATTGGCTCCACTGGACAGGGCGAGCTTCTGGCAGCTTCAACAGAAACCACACCTGTAGCCACCCCCCACACCACTACCAAAAGTCAGCCACAGAAACCCACTACATGGGCTAATTCTAGCTTTTCAAAATTCAGTACTCTGCAAAATTCCTCATACTTGTACACGTGCAAAAGATGGGAAGACAAAAAACCTAAATCTTATACTGAGGACAATGAAGCCAAAAAATTGTGATCCCGCAGCAAAACCTCTAATTTTTGTTTCCCTAAAGGGAAATCCTGAAACTTTCAGAAAACTTCTTTTCTGGCCCTAAGTTGCACATATTTTCTTCATCTAAAACTCAAAGTTAGAAAAACAAAAGAAAAAGTTAAATCAGATGTCTCAGGGTAGTCTCAGTTGTAGAGCCATTACTGCGATTTATAATGGAACAAAAAAGAGAGGCATTTGAAGTCAACCTATAAGCACTTGCATGTGGGTGGGTTTGGTCCATGTGTGCCTATTTATATTAGGAAATTAAGCATATATAAATATATAAATAAAACATATATACAGTACATAGTCACATTCACACAAGCCATAAAATTACATATATTTACAAAAATATTTGCAGTTTTGTTTTATACATTAGGTCCACATTAGGAGTTTAGTTATTTAGCTTCTGCCTTATGAACTTGATCACCTTCCCAAGTAAGACTCTAGGATGAACCTGTACCTTATATATTTCCAATTTCAAAAATAAAAAAGAGGAAAATAATCTTCCAAGGAATTCTGCCAAGTCCATAAGAGAAGTTGAAACTTGTCTCACTGAAGAGTAAATTACATGTTAGCAAAAATTAAGAGATCTTTTCTTCATGTAGAAAGACAGTCCCTTGGTCTGGACTATAAATAAATTTGAAATTTACAGAACATCAGGCAGGGCCCAAACTGGGTGCCTGGTGGCTGTCTGTAGTATAAACTCATGCATACCTACTATTCTATTTGTCTCAGTTTAAACTGGTAGAATGATGAAAGTGAACGAATGAAGATATGAGAATGCATATATCAGGTCAACTTAGAGGGTAAAAAGGTAGACTACATCCTGTTGGTATTGGTTTAGCTTCACTTAAAGCTAAGTCACATTGTTAAAGCAATCCCAAGGATCTCACATTTATACAGGACATATTACACAGTTCTGTGACTTCCAGAAGCTGGAATAATTTTCTTCTCCAAAGACTAAAAACATTTCTTCACTGCTTCCTTAAATAGTTTTCTTAGATATGCAGCCCAGATTCAGGCATGCATTTTTAACTTGGGGCATTTGCCCTTCTGACATGAAATGAGTTTTGCAAGAGCAGTCAAAAGTTTGGAGAAGAGGTTGTTTTCCTTCTGAAGAACACTTGCAAAAAAACAAACCTTAAGATACAGCAGCTTAAAGTGCCTGTACATGAAGATCCATGGAGAAAAATTTTGCCATGAACCTTTGATCATATAGCACTTTCAGTGATTGGCTGTGGAGTCATCTCTTGCTCCTCACCATTCTCTGTGGACACATTCAGGACCTCCTGTTGCTGATAAATATCTTGGACCAACATGATGTTTGTGCTCCTCCACTCTCTGTACTTCAGTGCTGTCAACTTTGGGTCCTCCAGCAACTGGTTAATTGTGGCCAAGTCATGTTCCTTACACTAGGAAGAGAACAAGTGGTTATTTCCCACAGAAACTGTCAAGCTCATTGTCCATAACAAAAACACTCTGGGAACATTAGAGAACCATGTCACAAAGAGATGGCAAATTATCCATCCTCCTGGAAGCTTGTTCTCATTTTTGAAGCATAGGTCATCAAAGTTAAGTCTACTGGAAAAAATTCATCCCAATTGAAAGTAAGTTATGATTTCATCAAGATTTTTTAATAGGATTCTTAAAACTTCATCAGAGAAGATTCATGTGAAAATTACACATTGTTATGGTGTCTCACAAGTTAGTACTCACTAAAACTAGACACAACAGCATTTATTCCTGTGATTCAAACCAGTTCTCACTTTCTCAAAAAATACTTATTCCATAACCACATTATAAATGTCTCTTCTCTGGGAACTCTACTGAGCATAATTTTGGATATGATTTGTGCACTGGCAGTAGAGTGGCTAGAGCATGTGTGGCTGCCATCTACCATAAGCTAATAAGTCTACCACCACTAATAAATCTGGTGTCTACTTTTAGGTAAGTGCAGCTCAGACCATAAATTGCAGGCACCCTGGTTCTCTTGCAAGACAGAAGCAGTCACTGATATAGGGTCACTGAGACACTGTTTGTCACAGAATTACAAAATGGTTGAGCTTGGAATGAACCTCTGGAAGTCATTTGATCTAACCCCCTTCCTCAAGCAGCACCACCTACAGCAGGCTGCCTAGGACCATGTCCAGATGACTTTTGAATACCTCCAATGATGGAGACTCAACAGCCTCTTTGAACTGCCTGTGCCAATGCTTGGTTCCCCTCACAGAAAAAAGGGTTTCTTGATATCCAGAGGAAACCTCCTGTGCTTCAGTTTGAACCCATCACTTCTGGTCCTGCGGCTGGGCACCCCTGTAAATAGCCTGGCTATATCTTCATTGCACACCCTTTTCACATATCAATGTTCAGTGGTGTCCTCACATGCTGTGACATTATACAAACCACTTTGCTCTTCCAGCTCTTTTGGCCTATCCATGCAGGACAGAGAAGCCCACAGGATACACAAGCCCGCAGGATAGAAAAACCCTAGTTAGCACCTACAATTTCTTCATGGAGGCACCATGCTGCAATAACAAACCTTAACTGCTTTTTCCTGGCTCCATCCCTCCAGTCTGTGTGTGAAAGCAATGGAATAGTTCTAACCATCTTCTGCTGCCCCCAGTTCATCACATCTGAGGACACTCTTTGCTGCTGGCTGCCTTGAAAACAACTTGAAAATACTCCCACACATTGATTTCACTTCCTGGTAGTAGAAATCAGTTGTTTATACATCCATATTGCACTATTGCTGTAATGAACTGTCAACTGTTCTAATCTCTGTGATGGCTTAGCGGCTCTTTAGATACAAAAGCTAGTTCAATCATTCAGTGCCAGCCCTTGTAGGAAGATTTCTGGCATTGATGCAGAGATATGGGCAGTTAGCCTAAGAGAAAAAGAGCAGAGATAAGGAAGGAGAAGGGAGAGAAGAGTATTTCCACTGGACAAACTTGGTGGCAAAAAGTCACGCCATGGAATTTTTCCTGTAACACTAAATCTATTTCCCACATTCACTATGACTGTGATGCATTTGTACATAGCTTCCCTTTTTATCAAAGTATCCAAAGCATGTTTTGTTAATGATATACTGTGGCAGAAACATTAATCTGTTGTTAAAGATGTGGAGTCAGAGGTCAAAAGTTAAAATTGCACTGAAATTTGCATAAATCACTTCTCAAACTAATAGGGTTTTAATTTAAGCAAAGTACATATGGAACAGAAGCAAAAATAATCCTGATTTTAAATTTCCAGTAGATCATTTCCAATTATCTTATGTCTCTACTATATGTTAAGAAAATTGACTTTAAGAGCACATTCCACTGATGTAAAGATTATGCCACTTTCCCACAGCAGGCATTTGCCTTTCAGACAAGCTAACTTACATACTACTGTGTACAGAACTCTGGTCATGTCTATGCTACATTTATCTTGTCAATACTCCAGTTTCTTAGTTTGAAGAAAGGAAAAAAAAAAAAAAAAAAAAAAAAAAAAACACACCACCACAACAAAAAAACAAATAACTCCCCCCCCACATTTTATGCATTATGGCCACTCCAAAAATGATTTTTCCATATTAAATACAAGTGTTGGACAAGACTCAGTTTATAAGCACTGTTAATCACAACTTATACATACTCCCATGCTAAATCAATGCACAGTTTTACTCCTTGCTCATGTCTGGCAGTAAGACTTCCATTTAACTCCATACTGATTAAAGTGATTGTCATACAAAATACAACTCCATTTTTTACCAACTCATTCTTAGATTTATTAGTGAGGCTCCCATCAGGAAAACTTTTGCAGAATGTTTCTGTATTTAGCTTCCTATCATATAAAATAGGTATATTTTTTAACTTTCTGTTATGTGATGAGCTCACTTCATTGCTGATGCAAATGAATACTGCTATAGTCACTGCCATATCTCTGAAGACTCTCTGATACTGAGGAGAGACTTCACCAGGTCTCATATGGAGCCAGGGAGAACGCTTAATTCCCAGTTGCCTTTTCAATTGTGTCTTTTGGGAATTTCAGCATGAGCTGAGGTGCCAAAGCCAAGCCTCCCACTGCAACTACTAATCAAATCAATGATTCTACTGCTAGGATAAATTTTTAGAAGAATCATAGGACTGTTAAGGTTGGAAAAGACCTCTAAGATCATCAAGACCAACCATTTTACATGCATTTCTCAGCTTACAATGCTTGAAGTCAAATACACGCATGTGAAACATGATACTCTATTCCTGCTTCTAATGCATACAAAAGGAACAAGTAAAGCCTCAGGTTTGCATTCATTCTTTCCTCTTCTTACAATATAAACTGCTATAGTTAAGATTTTTGTTTCCCTCAGTACCATTCAGAAGCAGGCTTTGAAATCCCATGACACTTGATGCTGGTGAGTAAACAGCGTCATAAATCCCCATATTCCAGACAGATTTACTAGCCCTTTCATGGAATGTTCTCCTGAACCCCTACACCCCTTCAGTTTGAGATATATTTCCAACTTAAAAGCAGGATGCTTTTGTTATTAAAAATATTTTAGTTACAGGAGGTCTTTACAATAGCTTTGGCACATCCTGTACATTCTCTAATAATCACATAAGGAAAACTTTTTTTGGCTCAGGGTCATTTTCATGTCTTTATCATCAACATACTTTGTCTGCTTTTCCTTTTTTAAGGCTCCCCTGTTTAGTACATTCAGCTGAGTTTGCAAGTTTTCCAGCTAGCTAAGAGGAGCTTTCTTTATTAAATTTTCCAAATAGGCTGGAAATTCTGCAAGATGAGTCCCCACTGAACTATTTCCTCTGCTTCCAGTTCAAATTGAACAACAAAATACAGATCAGTAATCAAAAAGAAGCAGAAAAAAAAATCAAAACTCAAATTCTCTGGGGCTTTCAGTAAATATGTAATTAGAGTTTGGCTGAAATCTATGCTGCTTCTTTTTTCAGCCAAACTGTTTCTTTCTCTTAGGCTTTTCCTTGGCCAGCTCTGCAAACTCACCTTTAATGTGCTGTTCAGCATTCGAATTTTGTGGAGTTTCTCATTAATGGAAGGGTTTTTGCTGCGTTTGATAAATGACTTCCTCAGTTCCTTCTTCGTTGACAGACGACGATCACCAATGGGAGACAGGCTTGCTTGCTCTAATGACTTGTAAAGTCGTTCCATCTCATCATCATCACATTTTTCCTGGTCTGCAAGCCAAGTCAAAGTTAACTAGAGTTAAAATCAAGGGCAATTTTAGGGTAATTTCTAGGGTAATAATGCATATCAGAAAGACATACTTTCCAAACTCAAATGTTTTTTAAGAATCAGGTAATGATCCAAACAGATATGAGCCTGTATCTCCAATAATAGAGTGCTGCTTTGATGCTCTGACTATATCACAGACTTTGAACAACTGTCAGTAATTCTGTGTTTGAATGAAATCAACTTTGAGAGCATCTACACCCATTCACCCTTCCCTACATGTTACATACAGTGAATTACATTTCTGCCTAGCGACTCACAGACCAAATTCTACTTGGTGTGACAATTCATCATCAGGTTTTGGTAATTACTGAAAACAGAGTTTAAAAAAAAAATAAAATTGAGCGATTAAATGAAACATAGGAACATTTCAGGGGCCCCAAGAGAAGGTCCTTAGGAAACAGATTAAAGCAAGAACGCTTAGGGTATCTAATGCCTAGCCCCTGAATTTCACAGATTGCAGCAGAGAATTTGCTTGTGGTGTCTCACAACAAAACCTTGATTATCTCCACCTTAATTATTCTGGTGGCTCCCAAGCTGCAGGACTATCTTCCATGACAGTGAGGACATGAAAGGATAAGCAAGGAAAGAGCTGAGAATAGCATAAAATAAGATGAAAATTGAAGCAGACATTTCTCAAAAAAAAAAAAGACAACTTAAAAATGAACAGACAGAGGCCAAAAATGTACCAGGCATATGTAGGGGTGTTTTAGAAGAAGGCCATTTTCAGCAAGAGACTGTGCAAATCACTTCTAGTCTTTCAGCCCACACTGCAAGCTTTTCTACTTCAGTGATTATTAAAGGCAATCTGAAAGTTATCGCTGTTTTCAGGGTGCTAACGAATCCATCAAGATCCACTGGAATAATATTGGGTTTTATTTCACTGGGGGTAGTAGTGTTGGTTCTTCCCAACTGCACTCCTCCATATGGCCATTGAACTGGCTGGGCACTTTTCTCTTTTAATGAAATGTTAAACATTTACCTTTCTAAATCATTTTCAGTCAGCAAATATTTTCTGAACAAAAGGAAGAAGTCTTTTTGTTTACTCCTGCTGCAGCCAAAAAGACTTCTCCAACATGTCAGCACGCTTAGGAGCCTGCTCCTTATCTTTTCCATGTTTTGTAAAGTACAGCATCCTTCTACATCCCTGTTTCTAAACATTTAGATTACAAAAAACGTTTATGATAGGCTACAAATATTTGTCTTCACTGTGTTGCTGGCCTATTCTTCGCTACTGTGTGCTTATAAAAAGCCTACTGTAACTTGACAAGAACTAAATATAACTTCCAACACTGGCACATTGCTGGGGGAGGAAAAGGAGAACTGTTGTATATTTAACAAGCTGCAGGAAACAAAAAAAAATTGAAGTGTATGGCATAATACACGGCAGTAGTATTTCCTGAAAATGGTCTGCTAATACCAGGAGGCTCATAATTATAACTAGTTTCCTGCCTACTTTCTTGAGATGAAGAAACTGTTTGTTTCCTTAGCGAGCTCCTGAACAGGACTGGCTCAACTCTACTGTAGTCATCACCCATCAGGAGTGTACACACTAACACTTTGAGAAATAAATTGACCTTTATCAGCTATACAAGAAAAAGTGTATAAGAAGAAAAAAAAAATTACTTTGATCCTGTCCAGCAGCTTCTAAATATAGTCAGTCCATGGGGGACATAAGATTTCTTCTCAAGATACTTTTTGAGGCTAACTCACAACATTCCTCAGTGTCCTAAAAGGGTTACAAAGCAGCAAGCATGAGAAAACACCCCCAATGAACATTCTTCTTCCATGCTAAGTACTCTGATATCTTTATACACTTTGTAGGTGACTGTAAGGAGGACAGTAATACTCAGCACAGGAAAAAAATGGAGCCAAAGTCAGAAAAGCCCAGCAAAAGGCTCCCAGACGATGCACTTGTCCAGCAATGTGCACTCATCTCCTGCAGTCTTTCAACACTGTGAACTTAAACTCCTCTCTTATTTCTTATTCTTCCACCATTCGCATCCCCCAAAGGATTACTCAGAATCAGGTAATTTCAGAAGGAAGGAATATACCAGTTTCTTCAGATCAGATGGATAAAGGAAGTAATAGTAAAGCAATTACACAAGATTTCAGCAAAATGTTGCACAGTGAGGGTAAGTGAAACCTATAGGGTGTGTAGAGCCAAGTGTGAGTTATACAGTACTTTTGTCTCCATCTTTGATGAACTTCAACCACAGTTAAAAAGCAACAAATTAGTGTCTTAATATTGTGCTTTTGCATAGAAGCAGATACTGTTGCTATTGACAGAGTATGTCTGCCAATAAGCATCTATAGGTTGAGGCCAGACTGTCTGTTACCTACCTGAAATTTTACCTTCAGTGTCCTGAGTTCCCCTGAGCCAAGCTCAGAAAGCAAAAGCCCACATTTTGCAGGCTTGATGCTGTAAATCTGAAAGGGGGAGAGGTAACGGAGGAAGGGCAAAGGCTTTATGTTTAGTGCTCAGTCAACAAATCTAATAAAATGATTTATGATAAGAAAATATATTTCTCCTCGCACACACAATGGTGCATTACAGTATTTCACAAGCCTCTTAACACCTCAAAAGCAAACTAAGAAAGCACTACCTGTAGATTGCTTGCTTGCTTTTCCCACAAAACACCTGAGAGAAAATTAAGGTTGGATAATAGAAATAAAGCAACATGACTCGAGGGATTAAACACAAGATGGAGTTTTTCTCTAGATTCAAGTATTCCTGGCACATTTTCCCAGAACTTGGTATTGCTTGCACCTGGAGTTGGAGGTGGATGCTCCACCTGCAGAGGAGCAAGTCTCTAACAGAGGCACAGGCATTCACCAGTTATGTATTTTTAGGCTGAAGTTGCTTGGATTCTTCATATGAAAGAAACCTATGGTGTCTAGACCATACTACCGAATTGTTACAAAATATTTGCTTTCCATCAGAAATTTAAAATATATTCAAAAAGCACACGGTGACATAAAGTCATGCCCTGGTGTAAAAATGAACAGATTGTCTGTGTCAGCCTCACAAAGACAAATATACCACTCCTACTCTGAGCTTTTTTTATCTTCTGAAGGTTTATAATGATGGATATATTCCACTGGCAAAAAAATCTTAATATTATGGACAGATTGGGCCCCACTAGTATTGCTCTGGAATGAGTCTTTCCAGCTGGGTCATGCAGCTAACAGCAGACACATTTAAAGTCACTTCAGAATAAAGTACTGCAAGTTATCTCTTCCACCAGCCACTCTTCAAGCTAAGCACTTTCTTTCTCAGTCATGCAAGTTAGGAAACTGAAATGCTACTACAGCACTTCTTTATCTCATCCTATTTTAAAGATAAAATACATTCATTTTTCTCTCAGGACCAAGTAAAGGATTAGTGGTAAGGAACAAACGACCACATTGGAAGGATATTACATATTGTGAGTGTTTATGATTGTGTGCATGCAATCAGTGGGAACACACAAACTGTGCACTTTGCCCTTCCCCCCATCCTCATAGCCCGAGTGGAAGGCTGTGGATGTGTCTACCTTGACTTCAGCAAAGCGTTTGACACCATCTCCCACAGAATACTCCTGAAAAAGCTGAAGCCCATAGCTTGGACAGGGGCACTCTTTGCTGGGTTAAGAACTGGCTGGAGGGCCGGGCCCAGAGAGTGCTGGTGAACGGGGCTGCATCCAGCTGGCGGCCGGTCACCAGTGGTGTCCCCCAGGGATCAGTGCTGGGCCCAGTCCTGTTTAACATCTTTACTGATGATCCAGATGAGGGCATTCAAGTCCACCCTTAGTAAATTTGGAAATGATACCAAGTTGGTGGGGGAGTGTCAATCTGCTGGAAGGCAGGAGGGCTCTGCCAAGGGTCCTGGATAGATGGGCTGAATCCAGTGGTATGAGGTTCAACAAGGCCAAGTGCCAGATCCTGCACTTCGACCACAACAACTCCCTGCAGCACTAGAGGCTGGGGACAGAGTGGCTGGAGAGCAGCCAGGCAGAAAGGGACCTGGGAGTTTGGATTGACAGGAAGCTGAACATGAGCCAGCAGTGTGCCCAGGTGGCCAAGAAGGCCAATGGCATCCTGGCCTGTATCAGGAACGGTGTGGCCAGCAGGAGCAGGGAAGTGATTCTTCCCTTGTACTCAGCACTGGTGGGGCCACACCTCGAGTACTGTGTCCAGTTCTGGGCCTCTCCATTTAGAAAGGATTTTGAGGTGCTGGAGCACATCCAGAAAAGGGCAAGGAGGCTGGTGAAGGGTCTGGAGTACAAGTTCTATGAGGATTGGCTAAGGGAGCTGGCATTGTTTGGCCCGGAGGAGGCCTAAGGGAGACCTTATCACTCCCTAAAACTACCTGAAAGGAGGTTGTAGCCAGATGGGCTTCAGTCTCTTCTCCCAAGCAACCAGCGATAGGATAAGAGGACACCATCTTAAGCTGCACCAGGGAAGGTTTAGGTTGGACATTAGGAAGAAGTTCTGCACAGAAAGACTGATTGGGCATTGGAATGGACTGTCCAGGGAGGTGGTGGAGTCACCGTCCCTGGAGGTGTTTAAGGAAAGACTGGATGTGGCACTCAGTGCCATGGTCTACTTGGCAAGGTGGTGTTCGGTCATAGGTTGGACTAGATGATCTCAGAAGTCTTTTCCAACCTGGTTGATTCTGTGATTCTATAACCCATACTGACCTGAGGGAAAGGGAAGTTCTGCACTGAAATAGTTTCACATTCAAGAGAAAGAGGTCTTCTACGTTGGGGTAGCAGTAGTATTTCAGGTAAGGCACAACTCCTGACAAATTCTGATTCAGGGGAAGTAAACCACGATTTTGTGGCTTGATGCCACTTATCTGGAATTTCTGTCTAAATAACAGGAGATATCACAGACAAGAACAAGCTGCCAGAGGTTCAGCATGTCTGATCTTCACCTCCTCAATTTTCAGCTTCCGTCCTCCTGTTGGCCAACTTGCTACAGGTTGGAGACATTAAGGTATTAAGACTCCCCACCTTGGAGCAGCAATACAGGAGTCTGTCTGAAATATCAACTTTAATGCTCTTTAAGCCTACAAAAGTGAAACTATCCAGAACTTTTCAGAAAGCAGCTGTGAAAAGTAAAGCTGACTGTTTCCCAGTGGTAAAGATACAGAAATTGGAAATGTTTGGCAGAAAAAGCATTTTTCATTGAAAACCACCTCCAAGAACACATATCTTACTAAATCCAGTCTGAAATGTAAATATTTGTTCTCCCATTCAGTAACTGAGATCTCACAGATCCCCAGTTGTGTATTAATCCGAGGGGAAAAAAAATCTGCTTCTTCCTCCTGTCCTTGCTACTCTTATGAGTTTCTTGTAGCTTTGCCAGCACTTCTATTTCTGATTCTGTCAAATTTTTTTATGCCAATGGAACAACACACAACCCAGCTGAGGAGAGCAGAGGAAAAAACTCATAAACCACTTTTGCTCTTACCTACCTACCCACTCCCTTTTCAATAGGAATATGATGTCACCTCAGGGAAATCACATTTCCCACATAACTATGGAACACAAAATACAGGAAAAATTTTAATTAGGTGAGCATAGCTTAGGCAAGCTCCTCACTGGCAAATGTAGAACTAAAGGTAGGAGAGACTGGAAGAAAATAACAGGAAAAGTACATTACCAACAAGAGTTAGATGCTCTTGTCTATAACGGTATAGTGGACTCAGGAGTGGGGGGTAGATTTTTAATAAACAGACTGAACTGGAAACAAAAGAAGTAAGTATCTCTTTTTCAGAGAGTTCAGGAAACTGTAGGACAATAGTTTTCACTGTTATTTCTAAAGCTTTTTTAATGAGAAACAAAATTATTATTCAAACACAGTTGTTTCTCTCCCAGTTGTTCTCACCACAGGTATACCTCTTGGCTAGTCTCAGCCACAATCTAGCCATTTTCTGTAACTTTTGCAGAAGGAAAGAAGGGGCTAGAGCACACCAGAGGATCTGTTTTGGCTATTATTGGCACAGGCAGACTCCAGAGGGGAAGAGGATGTCAGTTCTGAGAACAGAAGGAATTGAATGCATCCAGCTCCTATTTAACCAACTCCTTCCCACAAAACCAATCCAGGTAAAATTCAAGTGGTATTTGTAAAGCTGTCCAGGTTTCTGAAAATATCAGCACACACTAGATCTTCTACCAGCTGCTGTGAGTTAAGGTAAAATAAACCAGAAGTGGTAAAATAAGAATTCCTTGCCAAGATGTATTAACTTGATATGATCATAAAACCCACATAAAATGCAAGGAAGAAGGGTTCTTATTACTATAGTAGTAGAACCCTAAATAAATACAAACAGACTTCCTATTATCTTATAGTAACCTTTCGGTTCCTTTCATTATTATATTTTTTGATGATAATGGTGGCATCTCTTAGATATTTTTTTGTTCTAGTGATTGCCAGAAAAAAGGCAAAGTATAGCCTAGCCATCCCAGAGGGAGCAAGGCTAGATTTTGGATACAGAGCCCCTATGCAGTCAGATAGTTGTTTGTATTCTCAGTTGTTTCTTGTATATCGTTCAGTTTCTTTGTGTCACAGGCAGCTTAGAATCCTTTGTCACAGTGCATGTAGCAAGCCTCAACACCAAAAATATTAAATATTCCCCAAAATTAAATAGAACCATAATGCTGATCACCTTTCAAAAGAGAAAACTAATCAGTTCCCCTTCTTTTTACTAGTATATCACTCTCTGGTGTGAAAAGTCTCCTCAGTAATTGGTGCTGAGAGTTAAGGCTGAGAATGTTCACAACACTGCTGAGAGTGGCTGGAAAGATTGTTAAAAATATCACGTTATAGCTCCTTGCACCAGACACTCACAGTTGCTTATCAGAGTTCATTAAATAATTTTTGTTGAAAAAATAATCCATTATCATTTAGTTGAACCTGAGGCTCCTCTTACAGAGTTTCATCCATCTGTCTCTGAAAACCTTTTCTTTTGTTGGTAACTCATCACTAAAGTTTCTTCACTATTTTTGTGCTTTTTCATGGTAAGCTCTTCCCACAAAACCACAGCTATTCTTTCTTCCTTCTAGGTACCAATTTTTCTTAGGTTGGACTCCATTTCTCACTTTGGCCAACAAAAGTGCTATTCAGTTCTTGAAAACTTTCACCTCAGCTCTAGGTTCTCATCAGCTACAAGCAAAAATTCTTCATGGTGTTTTGCCATGTAGAATGTGGTCAGAAAGCAGAGTGTGTGAGAGGTTATCTTAATCTTCACAAGGAGAAGGAGAGAGCATGGATGCACCTCTAGGTTCTGTGGAGAATGGGATTAAGGACCACACAGCTGTTCCAATGACAGCAGGGCCATCTTTACACACAGGGAACAAGTTCTTTCAGGACAAATGCTGCCAGAAGACAGATTTGTCTCCTCCTGGATGCAATCTCACTACTCTGAAACACATCAGAAATGCACTATTCAGTAGCTCCATAAAGCAAATATTATGGACTGCACTGAGGTATGTCTTCTTGTTTCACATCAGATAACAAGGGTGATTTTAGCAGTTTTTGTAAATCGTGAGATTTTGCAGCTACATTTTACCCCACAGCTTGAATTCATCTCACAGTATCTGTGCACATTCTTATCAACTAACTGGAGTGGTGAATTCTTAGGGGTAAGCCTTAGAACCAGGATTGCATCCTTTTTGATAACTTTCATTTGTAACTGAATTGCTATTTTACATTAATCCTGTTTTTTCTACCTCGTTCTCAAGGAGAAGTAGCTTAACCTCCTTGCAAATTCTTTCCTAAATTTTTTTCAGTGGCCATTGCAGGGGAGGGCTCCACACACTGATAGTTTCCATACCCTCCCCATAATATGCAGACTGATAAAGGAAAGAAAAACCTGTGTATGGTGTACATCTTACTTGCTCAACAATGGGTTATGATGCAGACAAACTCTCTTGAGATTATACAGTTTCCATAGTGACTGTCTCAGTGAAATTATCTATTTCTGGAATTCCGTCAGCGATCACCAGTGTGGTTAGGATGGTTCTGTGTTCTGCCATCAGGGTTGCCCATCAGCTAAGCAGTGGGCAACAGAATTAATTTTCCCAGGAAAAATCTTGGGAAAATTAAACCACCTTGCAAACTGTAGAAATATGCCAAAATGTACCTTGATTTACATTTTAATCCCATTGTTATTGGATAGTATCATTGAGCATATTAAGCTATACTTCAAATGATTGTGAATGTGTCATGCTAATTCTATGACCATTCATAAAAGTACCTTACAAGTTACCTGGAAAAATTACAGTTACCCTTACAGTTATGATGGAAAGCATTAACCTACACATTGTTGCAGGATTGCTGACAATACCAGAGTAGCATATTCTAAACAACAGTTTAGATTTCTGAAAGGCAACCACTGAATCTTGCTCAGCAGGATCTCAAGCCACTATTCCGTATGTGACCTACATTCTAACAATCTACATGAATGTCCCTAATAATGTTTTCCAAGGCATTGCTATGTCAAATTTAACCCAGAAGGTAAAATTAAAAAAAAAAAAAAAAAAAAGTGTATTTACTATGTCTTTGTGACATTTTCATTGGGAACCCTTTTCTGTTAGCTGCAGCCTTTTCTCAACTTGTAAATCCAGAACTTAGGGGAATTGGATTCCACAATAACTCTCATAAAGCATAGCACTCTTTTCCATCACACAGAAACAGGACATATGATCACTCTGGGTTTTAATTCCTACTGATCTTCATTGCTACTGAATTTTCTAGCAGAGCACCCTAGAAGGCAGATAATAAAGCTGAGCACAAAACAGTGAGTTAATTTTCACTTTTGTTAAAAGCTGTACTTTGCTCAATTTCCCTCTTTTTTTTTTAATCAGAAAAACAAATGACAAAATAAAGGGTTTCTAACTGTTGATGTATGTAAAACTGTAGGGAGACTGACAACATAACTAACGTGCCCTATACTATCATTTTTCAACTAGTGTTATGTTCATCTACAGAGAAATACCCTGTGTTCCCAAGGACTCCAGTGCTGTTTCTTTCCACCTTTGAATTACCTTCAGCCTAAGCTTTTAGATACACCTTTGTTTTGCTCTATGCTCAGGCAACCCTGCTCTTTCAGCAACAAAGTACCCATCTGAAGGTCCTGACAAGGATTTGGAATCGTGGGAAGAGATGATGCACAAGAACGTTGTTTCTTCCTTATGTATTACCTCTCTAAGCAGAATGATTGTATGCCATGAGCACCACTTAGGCCTCAACTGCTTTTAATGCAGAATTAAGAAGCTTTACTCTAAAGGCGGGAGATATTGTCTTGCTTGGCAGGAGAGTTATGAGGAGTAACAATGACAAAATTCTGGAACTATGCCAACTTTTTCATTTCATTTCATTTCAGTAGGAGGATACCTGTGCAGAAATCTATTTGCTTAGACAAAATCCAGTCTTAATGGACTTTCTGATTCAGGATTGCAGTTGTTTTCTCATGATTACGATGAAGCTTAATGAAACAAATAGGGAGTATGTACTTCAAGTAAATACAACTGCTTTTATTTTTAAAATTAGATTGACCTAACCACATGCTCCATTTTGCTTAGAGTGTCTGTTCTATGACACACTTTCTAAACATTTTGATTCAATCCCAACTAATAAAAGACATCTGCATTGAAATAAAACAGTTAATAAAAACATATCTCTGTTAGATTTATATACAGAAGCTATGGTCTAACATACAGGTAAAATTTGAGAAAAGTTGTAAAGATACCTACCGACTAGATACTAGGCTATATATTTAATGTGCAATAAAGTAAATGTTTGTTAAAAATGATGTGCCACTGGAAAACTCTTCAGTGAAGAACATAAAGGAAAGAAGGGAAAAGGAAGTTGAGGAAACCCCTGAACTCTCATATTGTTTGGCTCTGCAGCAAAAATCTCATAACTCATTAGCTCACCTTTGGCTAGTGATCTCTGTCCTGTTGCATCTGGCACTGCTAGACAATGTGCATCTGCACTTAAGTAAGAGTTCTGGGATCCACCATTGGGTTGGGAAAGCTGGACTTCCTGGCTTTCTGCTGCTTCTCCACAGACTGCTTCTGGTGGCTCATCAGAATGAATCTGTACGCAGAAAGTTAAAGGCTGATCACCCTCTTCTGTGGCAGAGCTGTTAACTAGGTCAAGCCAGGACTGCCTCTCAGAATAAACCACTTTGGATGCCAGGGAAGATGATGACTCTTGGGAGTTCAAAGTGCTTTCAGGAGAGGAGAGAGAACAAGATGCTTCACTTGATAGAGTCGAGGTGAAAGATGACTTCTGCTGATCCTGCTTTCCAGAAACAAAAAGCAGAGGTGGAAGAAAAAAGAAAAATTATTTACAAGTCATTATTGTCCCTAGGTTCTACATGTTATAGGTATACAGCTGAAATGCTAAATGACCAAAAATTGATGTAATCTGATTAATTACCCATTCAAACAAGCCTGAGGTATGGCAGCCAATCTCCTACAGAGCAGTAGCTTCACAAACTAAGTGACAAGGAGGCCAGAGGTAAAAGAGATACAAACCTGACAATGTCTAGAAATAAAAGACCAAGGAAAAAGCTTGTGTTGAATGTAGCCTTCCATGCTAGTCTCACATTCATCTTCACTCTTTAATTTGTGTTCACTTTATTGATCTGATCAAGAGTGCAGAAGTGAAACTCCAAATTAGCCATTGAACATGAAGTTTTCTTGAAGCATTCAACAATTCCACCAATGCAGTAAACATAGATTATTGGTACCAAGCACTGAAGTACACTGAAGTACAGTAAAAAAGTATTTTACCTGGTCCCTTCAAACAGGGAATGGTACAAGATTTGTGCTGCTCATTCACCTGCTAAGATTCACACTTCAGAACATGAATCTGGAATAAGATCCAAACTTCACGAGAAACACATCAGAAATCATTAAGGCATCCAAAGACTCTCAATACTCAATAGGCCCCCACTTGTTACCCTGCCTTAACAGAAACACATACAACCAGAGAGATCTCAGAGACATCTAAAAGCCATCATTATTAGTTAGGAGTTGAATGACAGAGGGTATGGTACATGCACAATTCCATGTAAAGGAAGGTTGAGAGAAAGAACAAAGTTTTAAGGATAGGTTCCCAGTCAAGTGATTGGGTGCCCAGGTCTTTGTCTACACTAGAAGTTTACATTGGTTGATTTGTACTATTATCTGGTCTCCAGAAACAACTCACAAAGAACTATCACTAGTCTACTTCTTACCCACCAAACACCACTGATGAGATTAGCTAAGAGAGTCAAATACCCAAGTAATACATATAAAACACACAAATATACATAAAAATACCCAGAACAGAATCAATTGACAGTGACAAATAAAGTAATGGGAGAGGAGGAAAGACAAAGCCTTATAGTGAAGCTCTCAGAAGAACCTATCAGAAATTGTGATGAGATCATAATGATATGAAAACCAGATTTCTTGCTCCTCCAGAAATTTATTCCTTCTGCAAGTCATCTGCTACTGGCCAATGCCAGTATCAAAATACCAGACTTGATAGACCACAATTCTGGCAAGTTTGTGTTCTCAATATATATGTAGAACAGATCTGTGCAAGAATTAAAACAGATGATAACTAGACAAAGTATTGGAATACTGAGAAGGTGTTGCTAGGGAAACCTGGACAAGCTGCAAACACAATAAAGGGAGTAGTCTGGAATACCTATTTATAATCTGGTAAACCAGAAATAAGATTTACTCAAATAAAACAAACCAAGAGTGACAATTTTTTTCGTTATGATACATAAAGTTCTGCAATTCAGTGTTGCATACTGTAATGTATACTTCCTTTTTACATTAAAAACAACAAAGTAGATTTGACTTCCTGTGCTTCTAATACAGCTGCCTCATATAACTACTACTCAGTTCAGAAGATGAGGAAAACCAATATCAGATTGTGGATACCATTTGTTTATAACAGTTTCTTCACTTTTGTAAATTTTCAAGGCCATTCATAGTATCATATTGTTGCCTAAATGGCTATGGGGAAAAAAAGACTCCAAGCCAAAATAGGTAGGAGATAAGATAAGGATACAAAGGCTTTACTGAGCCCCCAGGCTTTCTGGAATACCCCCAATGCGTGCTCTCGAATACAGGTGTTTTCAGTTTTTATAATGATTTTCACCCAATCCCCATCTGGCCACCACTAAGGTTCTACCCCCACCACGCCTCTTGGGAATTGGGTCTGGGGGTGTTTTGGGACCCCCTCTTCTTCATCTTCCTCAGAGCACGTAATGTTCTTGGAGGCCTTACAGAGTCCTAGGCCTGAAGGTTTTTGTGTCTATGGCTAAATCTTCTTGCATAGATTTTAGGGTGTTCTCTACAATTCTACCTCAAAAATGAGACTAAACAGGCCAGTGGAATTTCGGGGATTGATATGGGAATGGGTGACAGGGTTTGCTATGTGTAGTTGGTGTGTTAAAGGGTAAAGGGATAATGTATTGCTACTTTAAAATCTACATTTACTACATAACTACTTCTAAGATCTACAAAAATTAAAAAATCAAAACACCAAGGTATCAATAGAATAGTCAAGGTTGAAGGAGACCTTTAAGGTCATCCAGTCCAACAATCAACCCAACACTACCACTGCATTCCATAAACCATATCACCCAGCACCAGATCCAGGTGTCTCTTAAACGCTTCCAGGGATTGTGACTCCACACCTTCCTGGGCAACCTATTCCAGTACCTGACCCTCTAACAGCAAAAAAAAATGTCTAATATCTAATCTGAATTCTCCTCTGTCTCACTTTAGGGCCGTTTCATCTAGTCCTCTCACTGCAGATGCCGTAGAGGAGACAGGCCTCCACCTCAGTATAACCTCCTTTCAGGTAGTTGTAGAGAGCGATGAGGTTCCCCCCGAACCTCCTCTTCTTCAGGCTAAACAACCCCAGCTCCCTCAGCTGTTCCTCAGAAGACTAAAGTTCTCTAGTCCTTAAACAATTCCTCGAAGACTTTCCCAAACATTGCAGGACCCAGACATTTATATTCCTCTTATGAGAAGTACAACATTGTGTTTCAGGTGCATTTTTGTTTTTAAAATGGAAACCATAACATATGCATCCTAAAGCAAAGAACAGACAGATACCATCATAAACTAAAGGGGTGAGTGCTAAAAATACCCACAGGGAACACAGTTGATGTGAAGCATTTCATTTAAGAGCACCCATCACAAAGACAAATTGTTGAAGTATTTGTAAAGTCAAGCAGATCAACTGAATGGTAAAAGCTCTTGCTTACATGATGTGAATGGTCTAATTTCAATTGTTCAAAGCCAGGAAAGGAAGATGCTAGATCTCACCTCTATTTTTCTGGCATTTTTCCATTCGGAAAAAAAAAAAAAGAAAAAAGGGCTGTTGAAATTAAAACTGTGCTACACTGAGTAGAATATATTCATTTTTTTTCATTGTGTGTTAAATAAAAAATGTGGGTGAGAATAAATGACTGCCAGAAGGTGTTTCTTTTTCTCTACATATGTGTTTTGTTTTGTTTTTTTCTTTGGCATGACAAATGTTTACTTAACTTATTCAAGTGGTTCCTTTGGAATTTTTGCAATCATCCATATAAAAATAAATATCCATTTGGGGATATTTTAAAAAGGAGATCATAAGCATTCCACTGAGATCAATGAGTCTCTAGACATTTTTGAGAGAAAAATTATGACCATTAAACAACTCAATTGCTTTCTGGGGATTGCTGCAATCTATTGTCTCAACATATCTGTTGATTTTTTAACTGTAAATCCATTCACACCTGGATAAATTAATGCAGGTGGTCAGTTTAACTTTTGTCCTACAGATGTTAAAATTTACTTGTTCCTCACTTGTGTTTTTCTTCCACAGGACCCAAAAGTATGGATGAACATGGAAAGCTCATGATCACTACTTTTTTCAAGTTTCAAAATGGTTTGAGTCAGCAGAGAATAGAACAGCCAGTATAAACATTATGCTAGAAGTACAGCAAAATGTTTGCTGCTCTAAAATGTAGCAGAGTCTGCACCTGGGTGTCTATTAGTTTCCAGGTTAATAATTTTTCAGTCTGGAGTTGATTTCAAGAAGTTTGGAGGCCTTTCTCTCTAAGGCAACATTTGTTTGATTTTCTAAAATGTCCATGCCTCCTAATCCCTATTTTGCAAAATGGCTTTGCACTCAGGAGGAAGAGGTGCAATTAAAAATAAATAAATAAATAAATAAATATTAACTTTAGTCATTGGCTCTGACATTCTTGATGCTGGGCTGAGTTTCACTTCCAGTTGCAATTTGAGAAGATTAAACCAAGCCAACCAAAAGTGCTGTACCCACAGAGTATCAACCCAAATCCACGCCATTACCACGTTTGGGACTTCACAGCTTGGTTCAAGAACGCTGCAACAAATAAACGTGCAACAATCAATATTTAACCAGCCTTCCCTGAGACAACCATGGGCTTCACTTCTGAAACTGAATTCCTAGTAAAAGCTGTGCCTCTCCAATCCTCCCAGTGGTTTTCTTGCTCCAGCACTTGTCCAGAAGTGAAAGGGGCATTAAATCTCAAAGACTTTGACTTGCGGTCAACCCTGGAAGCAAACTGAGCATGTGGCAGACCCACAGCAACTGGAGCTTGTTCCAGTGGCCAGTTCTGGAGTGAAAATATGTCAACTTTGCTCAGGAGACACTAACCTTTGTCCACAGGGAAAGGGATTTTAAGGAGGAGATAAAAAGGGCCATCAGCTGGGAAAGGTAAAGGCTTGAGAGAATATAATCTTCAAGGCAAAGTTTGAGAAAACAGGACCCCTCAGCATTTGCACAATTGCCTGGACAATTTGCACATCCCCTGCTAAAATGTGGAGGCCAGCACTCAAGAGGAGTATATGGGAAGGAGACAACCGGAGATCACTCCTGCAGCAACAGACCAACAAGGAGCAGGAAGCCAGAAAAACAGAAAACTAAAAAACAACACCTGTTTAAAGCTCATCATCTGGAAAAAGGCGAGCATTCACTCAGAGGTAAGCAGACGGAAAAAACATCTACAGCCTCCTAAAGCGAGACACTGAGGTATAAAATTCAAAACACTTTATTATTGACCCTTGGCCCAGAATAACTGTTGGAGACATCAATGCCAGAGTTCTTATTTTCTCTGATATTTGTAGCCACTCAGCCACATTTAACTTCTAGTTAATACAGGCCATAAAGAATCACGTTCTACACAGCAGTGAACACCCGGCACCCTGCAAGTGCCAGGCAGGTTGTTTTACAGTGATAAACATTACACAACTGTTTCAGGAGAGGAAGTGAGGACTGACTTATCTGACTGAAACAGAGGGGGGGCAAGCGGATGACAGCGTGACATACGCTCCCAGCTTTATGTGAGCTAATTAAAGATTGTCAGACAGGCAACCCTGTGCTTGACATCTCCTTTTCTTAATGCCTATCATCACACAAGTTTCTGTAGCTCATCTGTGTATTTCAGATTTGCTACTGCTTCATTGCCTCTGTGCCACATAGGAACCTGTACCACACCAGTGAGGCAGCAGACACTTCCTTTCCATGAGATGTGAGGAGACTATTTAGTATATTACTGCATACCTCTTGATGTTAACTTTCAACTAGTGATCCTTGAACTCAGGATTCCTTATTTGGGCTGCATTACCACCCCAAAACAGATCACTCATTTCTAGACAAAGAATTAAGTAAATCTCCCATTTTAAAGCACATGTAAGAGAGATGAGATCACTGGGAAAAGCAATGATATAGAAACAAGATGAATAGGACAATATGTGGCTAATAATTAGGTGAGTCAATTAGATTAGACACGAGGCTGCATAGTGCTTATTCTAATTTGCGAAATGAAGTGAGACAGGAAGGAATATTCTGGGCAAATATGCTACACTTAGAAAGAAAAATGCATAGTTTTTTGGAAGGATGCCTATTTCCTTTTTCCATAGTGTATATTTCAGAGGTAGAGGAAAAGAACAGATTTTAGTCACTGTTAGAAGAGGCCTCTTTCCCTTGACTTCTTTTCACTGCCACAAATGCAGCTTTAAATTCAGCAGTCTTAGAAAGAGCTCAATCAAATAAATAAATACAAAGCTATTGAATGATGCTACCAGGGGCACAAAAATAAAGAAGTTTCAGGGTGAATTTTAAAGAAAAAAAGAGAACAGTATGAAAAAGTAGCTTATAGCAGCATGTTGAAAATCTGGTAAAGAAAATATAAAGTGCGTGTATGAGGTAGACACCTTCCTTTCTCCGGCAAGATAAATATGCCTGCATTGGAAGGAGCTGATCTCTTACAGTGTGAAGCTCCATGCAGTGCAGGATGTGATAACTGGCTTGCAATAAGAAACAGGCTAATTACTGGAACACTTACCAAAGGAGGAGGTGAGGGCTGGACTGTGTAGGGGGGAGGTGGAGTGTCCGTTATTTCTGGATCATCGTGTTCGCTTTCACTGTAACATTCTGAGGCAGACATGGAAAATGAGCAAAAGTGTTAGACCAAAAAATTTATTCCTCGCAATGCCGTGGTAACCAAAGAACACCAAGCAGGATGTTCTGGACTGAGGACCACACTTTAACAAGTCAGTGTCTCCTAACCCACTTGCAGTAACACTACATTACTTCATGGCAATGCATTTTTTTAATTTTTTTTTTAATTTAAAAAAAGTGTTAATTTGCTATGACAGGAAACACTGCTCTAGATAGCTTCACAGGTAGGTTTGGGGTGGGTTTTTTTCCTCTCTTTGCAGTGTTTAAATGAAGACTTTAATTTGTAGTAGAAGTTAGGGAGAGCTGTTGCAAACAGAAGAGTCAGTTCCTTAATCTTTGTAATCAGTAAGTTTCCCTGAAGCTAGCAACAGGTATTAGGGTTTTGGCTGCAATTTTGGAGTAAACAGATTGCTCACATCGTGCTTTGGAAACCACAGAGCAGCCTTGTCTTTTGCCACCACACAGTAACCCACATAGGCATGCCATATGGCATGGCAGTACATGTGCAGAGGTAATAACAAAATACTCCAGGTCTATACAACTCATTTATCTTTTTTTATCTTTTTCTTTTGCTTTTTAACAAAAAACAAACTAAAACTCAGTATATCTCTTGACATGTAGCAGAGGCAGTCATGCTGTTATTTCTTTCAACTATCTGTGTAGCAGCAGAAAACATTTTCTCAATTTTTTTTTTTTTAAAGGTGGATTAAATGAAGTGATAATCATTGACAAGACACAGAAAAAGGGAGGCAGTATGTTGCTGGTTCCTATTCCCAGGACCTGCCTGTAAACATTGGGCAAGATTATAGAATCACAGAATAGTTTGAGTTGGGAGGGACTTTTAAAGATCATATAGTCCAACCTCCTTGCAATGAGCAGGGATATCTTCAGTTAGACCAAGTTGCTCAAAGCCCCGTCCGGCCTGACCTTGAATGTTTCCAGGGATTGGGCATCTCCGTCTCTCTGGGCAACCTGTTTCAGCTTTTTGCCACCCTCACTGTGAAAAATTACTTCTTTAAATCTAGGCTAAATTGACCCCTTTTTAGTTTAAAACCATTACCCTCTGTCCTGTTGCAAAAGGCCCCCACCAAAAAGTTTGTCCCCATCTTTCTTACAGGCTCCCTTTAAGTACTGAAAGGCCACAAAGTTTCCTTTGCTAGATCTCCCAGCACGTGTGCAACCTTTACAGGAGCTAGTGCTTGCACCACATGTACAGAAAGGCCTACATCAAATTCTATGACACTATCAATGCCTTTTTGAGTAACTCTTAGTAAAAAGCTTATTGTTCCTATGGCTCCCCTTTTAGGCACATAGAAGAACTCAAAAAGAATCAACAGCTGTTTCTGATACTCTAAATAGGCAAATGAGGTTGTGGGGGAGTGGTGTTAACATGCATAAAAAGTATATAAATACACAAGAAATGTCATAACAAGCGACAACACTTCTGAAGAATTATGGGGTGTGATACAGAGGGGAAAACCGGGTCAGCAGGAAAAGAAGTGACTGTGGGTACTGACAACATTTTTCTGAAATAGCAATGTCTCTACAAGGGCACATCCACCCAGGCACATCAGTGCATGCTGCTTCATCACCTGTGACAAAACATGCATGGAAAGACAAGGAGGCGTTTGACACCAGAAGGCCTTTTTGTGAAGGGGAGATGGGCCACTAGCTTTAAAAGCTGAAAAAAATCTTGGCTATGTTATGTTATTGAAGGGTAATTAGATAACTAGCTGCAGAGGTTATTGATTGGATTATTTTATATGTTTTGGTCATATTTTTTTAATTAAGATGAGTGGACTGACTCATTGTTTTATCATTCTCAATTCAGCCAATACAACAAATACTACAAATTTTGAGACTTAAAAAAAATGTTTTCATATATAAAATTTTGGCCATCCTCATTTTCCATCAAACCCTTCCCTTGTGAAAACATGGACAACATATTTGCACACTTCCTCACTAAGTACAATTACTTTGCAGTTCTTGCTACACACCCTAATACTCAATATAGCCCTTTAACCTAAACTGATTTGATACAAAATTGGGTTCAAAGAGGACACAGGCATTTAGGAGGAATTAGACAGTGTAGGAATCAGTAAGTTTCCTGACAAGAAACAACCATGAACTGAAAAAAAAGAAATTTATGAGACCTGCTGAATCAGTGGCATCTGTGTTTACCAGCCCCAAAACTTCTTTGATAGTAGAGCATAAATGGAGCCAGAGTATAAACAAAGCCAGATCAAACTAATCAATAATGGAATTGCATGTCCCAAGCACAGGCAGAAACCACAATCTTGAATTCTGGGAAAAAGCAGAAGCAATGCAGAGAGGAACATTTCAGTGCTTAGACAAAACAGGCTGCATCACCTAAGTAACTTTTAAAGTTACTCATTCCCTGATGAACTCCTGGGATTGGCTCTGAAGGAAACTGTAGGCTTCAGAATAGTGCTGCCACCCCATTGTTGCTTTACATTGCTGTTGTTGAAACCTCCAGGAATGGACGAGACATTAGGGATGAGTCTACAGTGCACAAGTTATTACCAAGCCTGCAAGCTCCTGTGCTGTTGCACAGCTCCTGTAATATAAGTCATCAGCTCAAAACGCAGAGCAGCATAGCTATTTCTCTTCACACTTGGTAGGCTTAGCAAGCCAGCAAACTGCCAGAAAGTAGTTATACACCTCTCACAGAATCACAGAGTGTCTCCCTCAGTCACACAGTTTCTCATAATTTTTTCTTTTTCTGTGATTACTCTGTGCTGTGTCACTGCGGTTTCTCTGAGCTCAGACAGCAGACAGACCCAAGATGACAGTTTAAAAGAAAGAAAATAGCTGACAAAAATTTGGTCAAACAAGAACTGTGAAGAACACAATGTAGTTACACGTTGAAACCAGTGAGGAGCATACCTTCCTCATTCTTCCCATTTGGCGCCTGAGGGTCTACAGCCATCCCCAGCTTACTTAGCCACCTGTGTTTGAAACAGAGGGAATATAGTCAGGGATACTTGCATGATCCTCAGATAGACAGAGTTTTGCACCTTTCAGATGTGTTCTACAACACCACATCTATTTTCATTAGCTTGAAGACTAAATGTCAAATTTTCTATTTCTTAGATGCTCTTCTAGAAAGACACTAGTTACCTGAATACTAATATTCTCTGTGGTGAGTAGGATTAATTGGTGGGACATCTTCTTTCCCTCATTCTGAAAAAAAAAGCACTACTGATGACCAAGGACTTGCATTTGTGGAAGCTAAACAAAAAGTATTTGTGCTATAACACCATGTCGGTGATTTAGTCTAGCAACTGAGGTGTCATCTTTCACCTCAGATGAAGCAAAGGCATGGGAGCCATAGAAGAAGACATCAGATGGCCTGGCCAAAACTATTGCAGCACCATCTAAGAATCTGAGTCATTTAAAACCAGACTTTTTGACCATAATATTCTGTGTTCTTCAACTTCCTATGTCCTTTCAGGTTTAGTAAGTCTCATTTCCTGTGTTGCTTTAAGCTACTAGTAATGCTTTTTTAATTTCTCTTCCTAGGTGGCTGCATTTTTCTAGAGCTAGAAACATCCCCTAGATATACTTCTTGTGTATTATGTTTGCTTGTATGTCAGTCAGATCTATCAGGGTTTTAAGAAACTAATAACTGGAAAATCTCAAGACTTTCAGATTAAAACTCAAAACCTGAATAGGGAATGTATGAAGGGCAGGAATTAAAATTCATTACGTGGGGGAGGGGGGGGGTGCTGGGGGAACCTAAAAACATTTTGTTTTATCTTGGTTCTAATAAAGCTATGGGAAATTTGCTAGAAAGATCAGTGTCAAAGTAACTACAGTTTTAGACTGCAGTATGAACAATAGAGCCACATAATAATTCAGAAAAACAAACTGTCATTTCTGTAAGAGTAGTTTATTGACTCTTTTCTGACAGTTAATCGTAACAGAATGATTTTTTAAATGAAAACCCACCTTAAAAAAAGAAAAGATTTGCTTAAAAAAATTCCAAGACTTCATTAAAGACAAGGGAAGAGAAGTCACTAACAACTGTGTACAACTGGCCAGATAAATGCATGCAGCTAGTCAGGATGCCTTTACTTTTCATTTGTGCATGACAATAGCAAATATATGCTAAATTAATGAAGCAACTGACTGTATTAATAAATCCACGGTTGTTTTTACTAGATATAGATATACACATAGGTATATGCATATATAGATATAAGCATGAAGAGTTACAAAAGGCCATGATCCATCAAGCGTTGACGCATGCCAGTAACTCGACACACACAAATGCTTCAGTGAGTTCAGTGGAGCCACTCACATATGTATTTGCAGAACTGGAGCCAAGAGAACAGATGTCTTTTAGTCTGTTTTGACATATGCATGAGCATGTGTGTACTTTATGTATTAAATGCATGTATTTTATACTTTGCAAAGGAAAACATCATCAGCCGCAATAGTGAGAAATTAGTGCAACATAGTGCAAGCTGCTTTAACACTAGGTGAAATACTTCTAAGCCAAAATGAAATTTACTCAAGAAGTGGAGTTTGAAGAAAATCGTTCTGGGGGCATAAGAACTGGGACACCTGTGTAGGTTTCAATCACTGACTCACATGAGACTAAACATGTCTCACATGAGAATTTCCAGCTGGGCTACAAACTGGCTGTTAGCACTCACTAATGTCCTCCATTAGCTCTAATTTTCCTTTTCCATACATCCTTCCATCTGTTCGCTCTCAACCAGGGTTACTCTCTCTACAGAAAGATTCCTGTCCAGCAGTCCCTCATTCTCAGTCATCCTATCTACCTCAAGAACTGTCACTCCATTCAGGAGCTCTGACAGGAAATGCAGGAATACAGAGATGGATGGTTATCTCCCCAGTTATCTCCCCACCAGAATGTTCTGTGCTGTTCCAAGTTTCAAAGGCCAATGCATTCTTTCCTTCTATATTAATGTGCATACATCTATAGAGTACAGATTTATTAATATATATCTGTGCACATACACTACTGTAGTATTGTACATTTCTGAATCTATAGGCCTTTCAAAGGTCACACCCATTTTCTCAAACTCCTTTTCTATTGTGGTAAATATCTATGAGGTCTCCTGTTTATAGAGAGAAAGAATAGTCAATGACCTATGAAAAATCTCACGAAGATCACCAGCAGAGCCATGATTATAATCCTGACCTGACTATCATAGAATCTCCCTTCCCATTTAAATTGTACTGCTTCGTGTCCAGTATTTGGCCATCTAATAAAATAGCATTGTGAACAGACTGCAATCTGAAGTAAAAAAGACAAAGAAGATATGTGATAAATCTAAATCAGTCAAAATTGGACCAGTATAAAATATTATCTTTCTGATAGCTCTGTGGCTTCCAAAATGGCAGTATTCATACCCATTTTTACTTCTTGCATTAAAAATTATCTGGTTGTTCTTCTGCTGGACATTTGTAGAAATCAAACTTCTGATCTGTCATGAGGATTGTTCAGCTGCAACCGTTTTGCACTACTCTGAAAGCAGACACTATTATATTCGAGTCCTGGTTCAATTCTGGGACAAAACTATATTAAGCCCTCACTTCTCCCAAGGTGATGAATTTCCTTTCAAATCTTAGCACCTCTCTGTCAGAAAGGGATCTTACCAGCAAATGTTGGGAAGATTAGTATCAAAATTGGGTTAATTATATGATTCTGATTTCAACTACCATTGGTGAACAAATTTCTTCAGTTACCTTCCATTCAGCAATCAGAAAACAAACCAGACTCAGTAATTCCCCAAATAACTTTGTCAATAAGCACTTGACACAGTGAAAGAATGAACTTTCAAAGGGTGTTTTCATGCATGAGACAGGATGAAACATGACCAATCACTCCTACTTACGTGTTCATTTCCAGAACATTTTCTGCCGCAAAATAAAATGTCTTGATCTGTGGGTGGCTGATCTTAATAGCACTTTAGGAAAAGAAAAATATAAGCGATATAAAGAAAACTAGTTTATATAAGAAAACATAATAGCTGAATGAATTATTTAAAATATATATTCACTCCACTGTATTAGTTCAGATTAACTTGTCCATCCCTATAACTCTTCCTTTAAAACGCTAATCTATTTTTAGCTTATTTTCTAGGCCACACATCATTCAGAGAGTATAAACCACAGGAACTAAAAAGAAAGGAATAAAGAATAAAACAAAGACTTCCATTGTTTCATTACATAATTCTGTTGCATTCCCAAGCCTCAAATACTGTGTGCAGTTTTGCTTCCTCCAGCTCTAAAATTAAAGCAAACCTGAAAAAGTTCTGAGGAAGTACCATCAGCGACCCAAGGCATTGATCATCTTCCATGAGTGATTAATCAGGCTAAGACCCCACAGCATGGAAAACTGATGGTTGCTGGAAGGGACATGTGACACAGTAAAGTCACAAGTGGTACGCAGTTGGTGAACACTGACTGACTTTTCAATGACTTTTCCAAGACAAGTTTTAGGAGGCACCAAAGAGGCAAACAGATGGCAGGTTTGAAACAAACAAAATGGAGTTAGTCATATGGCTACCTTCAATAGTCAATCTGTTTGTGTCAGACCCAAACTATTCTTTGGTTGAATATCCACCACTAAGAATTTTCAGTGCCTTTTTTTCCTAAAACACAGTGTTCAATCCTGAGACTGTGTGTCTTCCCTCTTCTGTACCTCATTAGGAGATCATCCCATGGAAGCACACACATAGTTTGGCTGGGCCCTAGCTGACCCAGCAGTGCTGGTTTTCCTAACTTATCCCATCCCAAACAAGTGATGAGAACATTTCCCTCCCAGACAACAGCCAAAGAAGTGAAAGACATGTTCTCATGGTTCTGTACTGCGTGACTCAACCTTTCCTCTGAGAAAACAAAATGGAGAGCCCCATATTCAAACTACCTGTCCCCTGTCCTTGGAGAAGTCCAGCCCGCAGTTTACCTCAAGAACACCTACAGCTAATTGCAGCATGAGACCCAAACAGAAGAATGAAGGCTTTCTCTCGAGGGAGATACAATGAAAATCATGCTGAGCTTTATAACTTTGAACAACAGCAACACCCCTCCAAACCTTTGAAGTGTGCTCAGAAGCAGATGGAAGTCAGTGCTGCATACGGAGTTTGGAAACAATATTTTCAAATACACACCCTGCTAAACAAAGGTTTTATTCCCCACACAAACAAAGGGTTCAAGTACAGCTCAAGCTCAGTTGCATCACAGTAGCCTAAAGAATAGTGCCAGCTTGGAGGGAAGCAACACTACTTGCACCACTGCTGACCTCCTCAACTAAGACGAGCTATCTGAGACAGACTACAGCTTACTCATTATCACTGTACGAAAAGGAGGAAAAAAAAAGCATTTGGCACACTGATCTATTTTTTCATTTGTAGTTTTAGCAAAGCACATCTGGCAGAGATTTTTCAAAAATATTTTTGCAATATGGTTTCCTTTCAGTAGCTCAATTAATATCTCATTATTTATACAACACAAAAGAACTCCCCACAGCTTTGTTGTCAAAGACTTCTGAGATTCATTCCTTGCAATGTTGTAAAAATCATGCAAAATTGGGAACAAGACATAAACTTACTGCTTTTTTTTGCATTCAGTTGCTCGATCCACACTGAAGTCTGGAAGTCTGATAAATCCTTCTGCTTTTTCAGCCTTCAATTAAAAAAATAAATAATTAAATATCACCACATCAACCAATTAGCAAGCTAGCAAACTCCAGTGCTGAATAATATGTAACGTGCAAGTTCTTGGTTTCGACAGCTTTTTATACTGTAAAAATACGTGCTTATCACCATGGGGACAGATCAACACCCGATGAAATATTCCTCTATGATCTATATTTGTGCAAACCCAGGATGCTAAAAAGCCACCACTCCTGTTGGTGCAACTGGCAGAGTGTTAGCATAGGTTTTGCTGATTAATAAGGACGAATAAGGGTTAGATCACCCTTTCAGGTCTGGATGTTGCATGCAATCATAAAGGAGCATTTGATCCATTATAAAGCCTGTATGTGTGTTACATAGATATGTAACAGTACTATGTATAATGATCCACATATAGCTGAAAAATACAATTCAAAAGCGACCCAAAATGATTTTAAGTAGAGACAGAGGAGCATGGCCCCCACATAACTGTAGCACGGACCACTTTGCAGGATCGCCCACATATGCCTATAAATGAGCAAGGCAGAGGCAATACAGAATAATCCCACCCCACAAGGTGAAACAGTGCAAGGGGATGATCCCACACAGCTGAGCTCTGTTGTTAAACACTGTAAACCAGCCTCATGTGGCTGTGGCCAACCAGCCATCACTCCCCCAGAAATTTTACATGGTACAAGAGGTAACAAAAGCCAGGCAGACATTTACAGTACACTGCTCATATCCAGTCAGTCCTTTCTGGATGCAAGAAGATTTACTGAGCAATGACATCTCTGTTCTTGGTCACCAGGACTCTCTGTTAGAGAGTCCTGCTCCAGCAAAACTGAGGTGACCAGTAAGCCTCAAATTCCTGTTCTTACTGCCTGTAACTGAAACATCTGAAGTGGAAACATCTTGCTTTATGTCACCTATCTACATACACCAGGCCATCTGCAATGAGACTAGGACTCCTCATAAGATGAGCAATATATAATGTAGACACAAGTCTCTAGCACGTAATGTCAGGAAAAAAAATGTACTTTCCAAAACATAGAAAGTGTTCATTCCTAAATCACATTTTTTCTGCTCCCAGCCATTATCCCTAGGCACAGTAAGATTCTGAAAATGTACACTGAGTTAAAGCAGGTAAAATATACACAATTACAAAGGCAGAGTATAAATGAAGATGACTGACAGTATCTCAGGTCTCATTATGCATGAATATGACGAGACTATAAAAAGATGTTCATCAAGACAAGTCTTTGAGGTTTAATTCTTGGAAGTATGAATCTCCAAGAATGGAAATATGGATATGGAATGGATATTTCAGTGGGTGGCTTCCCCGCAGCTCTGCATATCTGTTTTTTGGTATACAATAAGTCATGGTATAACCATCATTCCTGTCATTTACATGTATTAAACATTCAGATGAGAGATTTATATTTTGCATCATCGCCAGTTGCTGCTCCAGGACGCACACATATAAACACAGAGGAAAAAAAAGCATGAGTAGAAGGGCTTTTTGTTATTTTCTTTAGATATAGGAGAAACAATGATGTTTTTCCACATCTGGGCTGCAAATATCTTGATTTTGCAACATTTGTATAAAAAAACACTTATTTGCAATCGTGGAGTTTTAACCCTTTCTGGTTGTATTTGTATCTGTAAAACTTGGTTCAAGAGTGGTTTGGGGAGCTTTTGTTTACGTTCCACAGGAAAGAAAAAAAGAAAAAAAAAAAAAGAAGACAAGATTCCATAAAAGCATTTTTTTTTTTTTTCCATAATGTATACCTTCTCACCCACACAGCAGTAAATCAGTGGCCTGAGCTGGGTAACCCATCAAGAGAGTGTGTGGTTGACTTGGGTCTGAGGCAGGTTGGCCTTTCTTATATGTTACAAAGGAAGAGGGTAATGGTGTGAACTTTTTAATGCACTATTTGTACACATCTCAAACGTGCCATCTGTGTAACAGAAAAAAAAAGTTTGAAGGGTATGTAGTTCCATAATTATCAAGAGAAAAAAAAAGGAAGGAAAAAAAGGAAGTCATTACAGTAAAACCTTATGAGTGTCGTTACAGTCAGCAAATAGAATTACAAATAAACCATAGTAACAGAACATGTGGAAGTCATCTTTTCTGTCATTCTTGGGGGAAAAAATCATTGTAAAACATTAAAAGTGTATAGAAATCATAAATGCTTTCTTTTCTCCAAAATGTTATCTTTAACATGACTTTAGCATGCTGTTGTTTAACTCACACATTTCACTCAAGCTTCCTTGAGATTTTGGTGCAAAGCTGTAAAATAGCCCTTAAAAACTCAGATAAAAAGAACCTTGACCTGTTTTCTACTTGATCAGGATGTTTAAAAGAATAAGTTGTTATCTCCTATGGTTTTTATGAAGGCTAGCCTAACATAAAAATCTGTACTTTTGCTATACTAAGTTGTAGAAAAATAATTTTGATAATAACACCAGTCTCTGCAAATGCTTGGGGCAAAAAAAGAAAAAACGTAACCATTTTTTTACAGAAAAAGCTTTGCACTCCAAAAAGAATTTATTTATGAAACATAATGCATGAATCCAATGAAAGAGGCTAATGTCCTTTTCAGCTTGCCTCAATTCGTTATCTAAATGTTGTGGATTTAGGAGATTTAGTAAGTCATTTAAAGTGAGTGTAATGTTACAGAAAGATTTTTTAAAAGAATGCTGTGACATCTCTTGTTATTGTGGAACAGCTCCAATCTGCAAATCAGGGTACTCCTCATGGCTTCATCAGTGTTTCAGCACTGCCCACAGAATACCCTGTGGATGTTGGAGGATCACTTCAGTCCTCAAACCTTTTTAGTCTTTTTTCTCTCTGCCAAGTACATGAACGAGGCAACCCATAGAACTGTGAATAATTTGTGTAAGATACTGGACCAGAGGTCCCCAAAGCTCTCGGCACAATCGGCCTACATCAATGATTTTTTCTCGCCCATGAAAGTGGCAACTACAACTCAAAGGTAAAAGATTTTGTTTTAAAAGACTGCCATTATACAGCTTCCAGAAAAGCTGTTGGAGTGGGGACCAATTTAAATACAGTAAATCAGAAAAAAACCACAACTAAACACAAAGATAAATAGTGACAGTAGATCACAGCCTGCAATCCTTTAATTCTATATCTTTTTTTTTTTTTTAGCTAAATCCCCATGACAACCATCTTTAACATGTTCTGCAAAACTCTATTTCAACTGTACTTGGAAAACCAGTCGAGCTATCCTAAAGCCCCACCAGAGAGAGGGATTTAGTCTTTTTTGCCATTCCAACCCATCCTATCCAACACAGTCAAAACAAGCACAAAGAGCTGGGAACCTGGGATTACATGTGATGAATCTCACTCCTCCCACCCCCCTCTTCCTATAGGAGTACTGATTCCCTCTGGGGTTTCAGTATGAGAACTAAAACCACTAAAGTATTAGACAGGATAACACACTATCCTCTTTAAACACGTGCCTTCAAGGCAGCTGCCTACAGACAGGAATGCTCCAAAAAAGAACGAAATGCTAATGAAAAACAGTTGTCCAAGGAGTTTGGTGTTCCTGTATGCACCCAGAAAGCCTGACTGCTCAGATTCTGACATTTTCTGTGTTACCATTGCAAAGCCAACCCTTCTGTATTTCCTCCTAGTCCAAGCAGCTTCCCTCCCGAGACTGCAAGTGCATCCATGCTGTGAACAGAAGTTTACCTGCCTCATATTTTACAGAAAGAGGAAGGGTTCTGGGGAGAGATTCCAGGGCAGCCTACCCAAGGCTGACTAGACCACTGGGCCCTAACTTCACTGCTTGCAGTACCTCAGCTTCTTCATTGAAGGTTTATACGGACTTGCCTGTGTTCTCTAGTTTGCTTTCAATGAAGGAAAAGCTTGACTCTCAGGGTGTCTGATCTGCTATTGCTGACCTGTCTCTGAATTTTATTACTTTTTCTCTTTCAAGCTGTGGCAATCACAAAGTGTCTTATGTTAAATTGAAGAAAATATCACGCAAATGTCACAAGTGTCCTATATCATGTCCTCCTATCTGCCTCACAAGAAAGACCCAGAACCAGAGTAGCTTGAAGGCAATTAAACCAGAGTAACAGAAACATCCAGAGCTTCAGAGGCACCTGAAGACAAACTTCACCAGGAACATAATGTCAGATGAGGTTATCTACCCAAATCCAAGATGATGCACATTTCTGTACAAATTCCACCCACTCCCTATTTTCCCCTTCTCCATTAGAAAAATAGGTCCAGCACCCTGTTGCTATGCTACAGTTACCAGTGACTTTTTTTCACAAAGCCACAAACAAAACACACTCATTTCTCACAAGAACAAAGCTGGTCAGGTAGAGCTACAGGCAGCCAGTGCTACAGGCAGCCAGTGTGTCCCGTTTTTTTTTTTACCTCAGCCCCCCTCTTTCACCACCACCTTTTGCTTCAGCCTCTGTAAGAGGGCCAGTAACAGGAAGCTTCAGGCACGTGAGAAGCAGGACTCCTCTTTCAACAGAACTCCAAACTTCAGATTGCCATTTTTTATGATCCACTGGGATCGAGGATTAACTTCGCTGGAGACAGTGGTAGAGAGGCAGTAGTATTGCCAGGCCAGAGACTTAAAAGAAATATCAAGAAAGCAAGTGAATATGTCACTGCTATTTCTCCTTCATCAATCTAGAGGTGAAAATATTTGTGAAAATACATCGGGTCTAATTGATCTCAGATCTTTGAGCGTGTCTCTGGTCTCACAAATTTGAGGAAGCAGGTCTTAGCAAAGGACACCTTCTCTCCTTCCCAAACCCATAGTTACTGACATTCTGCAAACATTGCCTGAATCTAGTTACACAGAGGCTGCACTGTAAGTTGTCCAAAGAGACCTGGAGTTTTCAACACAAAATAGTGTGTAAGAGTTGGCAGAAATTGAAAGCAAAGGCGCACTACCAGCTAGCATGTTAAAAGAACAGATGTGATAGGTGAGAACTCAGGACTAACACAAGCCAATAGTATTTTGAAACTATATGAGCTCTTTAGAGCAAATAAATTTGAATGAGGCTGACACTTGTTTATTTGGGGGCAGTCAATGACAGAAAACAGACATGGACTAAAAGGATGAGTGCTGTTTAGAGCACTGGGACCATCATGATCATGGTTTCTCTAGATCCCAACAGCAGCCAGGCCACAACAGCTGAAGGAAGTGGAGGGCTTTGCACCTCTCCCCCACCACCCTTTGCTTCCCAGAAGGCAAACTTCACCTAGTTGTGCTTTTTATATTTCCTCCCATCTTCATTACTCCTCAGAATTACTCCTTTCTGATACTTGTCATATCTAAAGACACATTAGCCAGCCAGCTCACCGTTCTCAAAACTGCTTGCCCAGAAGTACACAGATTTCTAAGAGCTGATATTAATAAGGGTTTGTGAGGTATTAATGTTGCTGGGGAGTATATCTACCAGTCCATGTCTTTCACGCAAAGATTTTGCAAGCACTGGGGGAAAAAAAGCTTTTAAATTCTTTTTTTCCTCTCCTACTTTTCCTGTTTCTTTTCCTTATCTCATGCATGTATTTGATTTAGTCTTGAAGGAAATCTGTATCAGGCTACTACAACATCATAAAAAAACAACAGACCAAGACCAGCAGAGTTGCTTTCACTTGTCCCCAAAAAGGAATAGCTAATACCATCTTTAAGTACAAGTCAAAATTTTTATTCTGATTAAAACAAACAAAAAAATACATGAATCAATCAAACAAAACAAAAAACCACTTTAAAAAAAAATAACATTATACCCACAATGAAGGGAGAATGTGAAATACTGTGGACATGAGTAAAGCTTTTTTTTAGGGAATGGGGATTTTTTTAATGGTTTAAACTATTTTATTTGTTCTCTGAAACAGTTAGCAAGATTTTTAATGGGGATTACTGCAATAGAAATAAACCAGTGGAAACAATTCAGATAGCCTTTGATTTTTTTAAAATACTCTAAGAACTAATAAGGGTTTCTTTGAATTTTCATCCTTTGCTGGGCCTGGGACATGCTGATTTCCAGAGAAGCTCATTTGCATTTAGGGAAACTGATGTCTATCCACAATTCCACACTGAAGCTCCTGAGCTTCAAACTACGTTTTTGCTGGCATCCCCTAATCCTCTGCATACCCTAATTCTGGACTCTGCCACTTTATCATTTGAATGTGCTAGGAGCTTTTTAGGGGTAGCAGTACAAGAGAGCAAAGGGAAGGAAATAATTCTGTCTGAATCTTCCTAGAATGGGCAAGACATCCTTTCTGCCCAATCAAACAAGCCTGAAGTAAAGCCAGCTGTTCTCTAGTACTTGAAATGAAAAAAGAAAAAAGAAAAAAGAAAAAAGAAAAAAGAAAAAGAAAAAAGGAGGAAAGAAAAAAGAAAAAAGAAAATAAAAAAGGACAAGAGAAAAAAAAAAACAGAAAAAAAAGAAACAAATCAGACAAATAAACAGAATAAATTCCATCTGGAAAGGGATGGAGAGAAAAACAGGAGAGACACTTCTGAAAATTAAATCTATCAGAAGTGAAGAGGAATTCGTGTTTCGAGTCTTGATAGCAAATGTCTACAAACTGCTCAAACCAGGAGAATCTTTCCCAAATTCAAAGGCCACCAGTAACTTCAAAGAACAGCTTTTTACAGGACAGAACAGACAGCAAGTTAGCATTTCACAAGTATTTGCTGAACTAAAAAACACAGTTTTCTGCATATTTCACATTCACATATACAATTCCCAGATCACAAGAAATGTCAGGACTGAGAAATAAACCCAGTTATTTGTACTCCTCCGGGATGCATCTATACTGTGACCACAGCTTCCCTTGTCTCAGTCCCAGCAGATGCTGTTTGCCTGGCACCCAGAGCTGGATGTGCGCTGTACTCACCAGCTGACTGCTGTACCAATACAGTGATGATTCCTTTAGCACACACCAGAACTTTTTCCATTTGTTGCCAATGAAAGCCCCTTTTTCCTTCTTTTTGTAGAGCCATCCTTGGCAATCCGCTTGCCCCAGCTCTTTGCACGATATCCTCCGTCGGCTCATTATAAAGAACCCTGTGCCATTAAAAATACAGTGTTCTGCTTTTTTAAAAGTGCATTACCAGGAAAGATGTTGCTGCCAATTAAAGATGTCAGTCTTACTTAGCAATCTCAGCAAATCATCCAAGCATATCTTAAAATATACTTAGAAGTCATTCAGTTTTATAATGGCTGTGACAGTAATACACATTCATTTGAAAAGCATGCTGATGCTCAGAAACAAAATAGTAAGCTATAGATAATGCGGATACTAATTAATTCTAAGATACACAAGATGTTGTAAATTAAAAATACATCCTTTGATCCTTTTAAGAGAAGCATGCATATATTTTCCTTCACACAGCTGCACTGAAAAGAATACATCTATTTAAGTCAGCCAGAGAAAACTATTATGCCAAGTACATGAAAACCTCTAGTGTGTATCTCTGTGCAGGCAGCTGATTCTAGCTCACTGATTACCAGCTTTGATTCAATTAACATACCACAAGGATTTAGTCCAAAGGAACAGCCCTTTGTCATTTTTTTCAGAATCAGTTCAAGAATCAGCGGAGTTAAAAAGCAGCCTTCCACCAGCTGAGTAGCAGTACAATATCCTCACCCTCCCAAGAATAAGACATAGTAAGAAAATAACAGAGGAACCCGTGAGAGAAGAGAAAAAACAATCTCTCGTTACCTTGACTTTTCTTTTTTGCCTTCTGACGCAAAGGAACCTGTAAGAAATGCAGGAAGGAAAGAAAAGAGGAAATTTCAGATTGTGTTGCAACATTTGTGTAGAAAGGGGAGGGGGAAGATAGAGAAGGACGTGGTGGTGATGCTAGTGGTATATGCAGGATAGAAACACATAACCCACTCACTGCTGAAGGGACATTAGTAGCTGAAGCATAAAACGTGTTAATTAAAATTGATGTATATGTAGTTGAGCAAGAGCAAACATAACTCTATTACATGTGTCTGTCTACTAGTGCTTCCTGTTCTGCACCCACAGGCAGCTTCTGCTTTGCTGTGTTTGCCTGAATTGTATTCTGCTTTTTGAAGTTAAAAAAATAGAAGTTAAAACTCCAGCATTTTAATGTTTCATTACTCTCCATAAGGCAGATTTACAAATATGGAAAGACTGAAATACATGCCAGGTGACTGATTGTCATTTAGCTCATTCTAAGAATTTTTTTAATTTAGTGTAGAGGGTGTGTTTTTTCCTCTGTAAGATTTTCATAATATTTCTTAACAAAACAAAACAAAAAAAATCACACAATATATATGGAAGTTTAAAAATAACAAAATTGTATCATATTTACTCACTTGCAGTCTAGATATTTCATCCTGCATAAACACATGGAAAATGAAACTAAAACAGAAGACCACAGACCAAAAAAAGAGGTCACTGAAAATGGAAGGTCTGGTTTTTGGACTAAATTCTCCCCAGACAGGCTGGTTAGTTGTGTGATTGTGGACAAAGCACTTGAATTCTCCTTGCTTCAACCCTTCCATCTCTAGTGCAAGAACTAAAGCATTCACCTTTTTCTATTTTTAGGAAGGTTTTGAAGCCTCTGGATGACAAATGCTGGATGAAGTGACGTATGATTTAATATGCTGGCCACAATGTTGCTATGCAAAGCCGGTAGCTACCTGATCCGCTGCAGAGCTACACTATGAACATCCCTAATGTAGCCCCTCTGACTTTCCAGCTTCTCAGGAAAACCAAACCCCATTTCATATTATTCTTTAAAAATTTGGTGGCTCTTCTCATAGGCAAATTAAAGATGACTAAAGCTAGACTGTCTGCAAACATTAATAGAAGAGATCCCTGCCACCAGTGTTTACAAGAGCTTCAACTTTCCCTAAGCAATAATCCTTGCAGCATGTATCACACAGTGCAGAATGCGTATTGCCGTTGTGTGCTTATTTGGTGCCTATTTGGGATGACCTGAACAACATGCTTGTGGGAAACTTTACCAGAAATGAACAATCCCAGACTCCTGCTTAATCACTGCATATTCTTTTTTCCTTTTTTTCTCTTTTTTTTTTTTTTTTTAATTCTACCACTGCCTTTTTCTCTCTCAGACTATTCTCCATGACAACACACAAAGAAAAGCAATAAGAAAACACATCAGCTCTCTCAGATTCTCTGTTATATTCCCATCCTGTGCAAGCCACCCTTCATGTCTTCATGCCAAAGAAAGTAGTGCCCTGGTGGGGACACATGGAAATAATACATGGCCTCAGGGAATCAGCGGGTCACACAGACAAACTAATTACCTTCCTTTAGAGCAATCCAAAATAATATTAAGAAAAACAAATATGAATCAGCTCTCCTTGCACAAAAACTAAGTAGTAAAAGCAACATCACATCTTTGCCATGATACTGTAGTGAGGACACTTCATCTTTAACCAACATAAAGTTGTACAAGAGCTGAGACAGGATGTGGCTCTCTCTACACAAGTGAGGAAAAAGCAATCTTTCCACTAACCTTGTTGATGATCTAAAGCAAAATAACATGGTCTATAGCTCACCTGCCAAGAAAGAGTTAAATACCTATATTATGTAAATCATCTGTTAGAGCTCCATTTACATCAGACTGAGGAAAAAACTGATTACATAGTAAGAACTTTAGAGCTAGCTAAAAGAATTTACAAATTTACATTTATTATTTAGTGGCAATGATGGTATCCTGCTCCAAGTTGATAGGGGTGCTGAACCCACTTTTTTTTTCATATTTTGTGGGAAGGTCTGGGAAATTAATGGTGGAAGAAAGGGAAATTTTCTCAGCCAGCACTGTATTTACTTTGCCTGAATAAAATTAGTAATAAATCTTTAAGAAAATCACTGATGAATGAAACTTTTTTTAATTAAGATAAATTTCTAGTTGTCTTCCCCAGTATTCCTAGAAACTGAAGTAAATATTCAACAAATTAACAATCAACCTGGAATTTGGCAACTTTTAAATGTGTCTTAGAGCTGTTCAGAAACCCAGCTTCATCCTATAAAAAAATATCTGTTGTGCTCTGCACAAAAGGAAGCTCTTATCCCCAACTGCAGCAATAAAATCTGGTATGATTCACAAAATTGCCTTCCCAAATTTTGTTGATTTATAAACAAATAAAAACAACCTCTTTCTCCAAAGCACAGTGTTTGGAGTCAGACAGATATTTTATGAAATAAACAAACAGCTTTAAGTAAAACTGTTTTCGTCTCAAACCAATAGGAAACCTGCATTTAAATGAATCTACCACAAAATTCATAAAATGCCTCACCAGTAGAGTTTGGATTCAATTTTCCACAAGAACACAATGCATTAGCAAGTCTCCAGTGGCAAACCTTTCCTCAAGAAGTAAATTAAAGTTTTCCTCCTCTGAAAACTGGTTTATAAAAGTTAATAATCTTTTGTTCCAGTGAAGGTTAAACATTGATTAAGAGATACTTTTAAGTTTCACTCTTATAGACATTCTTACCAGTGCAGAACAGAGAGAAAACCATTTAAGGCAGAGTTACTACCAATAAAACCAATGGTACCAACCAGGGGCATAACAGCAGTTTCAGATATAAATGTACTGTAATTGGCAGATGTAGGCACTGGAACAATCTGAAACTAATGGTTTTGCTTCTGGCAATGATGGATGTTTTTCTATAAAGCTCAAGATGGGAAATTACTTATTTCATTATCACAGGTTCAACTGAAAACCAAACCAAGAACAACAGATCTATTTCTATCTTTTCTAGTTACCAGGGAAAATCTGAGAGCAAAGATTCTCAGAAAAGTCCTGAATAATTGAAAAACATACAATTTTGTGCAAGACTAGAGAACAGGTTTTAATCTTTTTTGGTAGGTTTGGGTTTAGTGAGGGCTGAAGAGGATGGAATAATGATCCTGCAGAACAAGAGAGACTTTAAGCTTGCTATCCATTACTCCTCCACTTAGCAAATACACTCATGAGCCAATTGCAAAGGAACCTGTACAGCTGTGCATTATTCACAGCCACTCCTGTGCCAGGCAGGCTCCAGTCATGAGCAAAAGCATGAGAAAAGATCACAACTTCAGCAGAGACTTCTGACAGTTTAGAGGCCCTATTTTTCCACAGAATCACAGTATGACTGAGCTTACAGGGCCTTCAGGAGGTCATCTAAGTTCACCTCAAACCTGCAACTGATTTTCCAGGACCACATCCAGACAGGTTTTGTACATCACCAAGGGTGAAGACTCCACAGTCTCTCTGGGCCACCTGGGCTCAGTCATCCTCACAGTAAAGAAGCGTTCAGAGGGAACCTCCTGTGTTTCAGTTTGTACCCATCACTTCTAGTCCTTTCACTGGGCACCACTGAAAAGAATCATAGAATCCTTAAGGTTGGAAAAGAATCATAGAATCCTTAAGGTTGGAAAAGAATCATAGAATCCTTAAGGTTGGAAAAGAATCATAGAATCCTTAAGGTTGGAAAAGAATCATAGAATCCTTAAGGTTGGAAAAGACCCTTAAGATCACCAAGTCTAACTCTCAACCTAGCATCATCACCATGCCCTTTTCTTTGCACCCTCCCTTCAAGAATTTACACACTGATAGGATTCCTCTGAGCCTATTCTCCAAGCTGAACAGTCCCAGCTCACTCAGTCTTCCCTCATATCTTGGATGTTACAGTCCCTTACTTGTCCTTGTGGCCTTTCATTGGGCATCTCCGGTACGTCCATGTCTCTCTTGTACTGAGAAGTCCAGAACTGGACACAGCGTTCCAAGGGCAGCCTCACCAGCACAAAATAAATTATCACCTCCTTTCACCTGCTGGCAATACTATGTCTAATGCAGCCAAAGATACCATTTGCCTTCATTGCAGCATGGGCATGTTTCTGGCTCATATTCAACATGATGTTCACCAAGACTCTCTGGTCCTTTTCTGCAAAGCTACTTTTCAGCTCTGTGGTCCCCAGCATGTACTGTTTCCACTAGCAGTATCATCTGTGCTCTAATGGAATAACAATATGGGATAGAATCAGAGGGCTGGACAGGCTTTGTCAGTCTCTCCACAAGATCCTGGATTCTGGCTCCTACCAGGCAACAAACCTCTCTAGATGGTTGGTCAGGTCTACAGAGGGATGCCTCTGTCTCTCACAGGAGGGACTCCCCTCCTGCAATGTCTCATGATTTCTTCCTGGTAGCCTTGCACGGTTTACATTTAGGTGAACCAGCTCCTTTGCTAGTAGGCACATCTGGCTTCGATTATGAGACAGTGAACATATTTTGTAGTTGTAAGTTCTTAGGAGGAGTAGGAGCCTTTGTCTTGGTACAAGAAATAATCAACTTCCATCCTTCCCCTTCTGCAGAAGTTTTGCCTACATAGGTAGTGGGGGGTAGACAGTGCCTACTTCTCCATTGCAGGTGGGGACTGATGGTCTTCAAGCTGTTTTGTCTCAGAGAAGACCCTACCTCTTTCCATTCCATTTTCTGTGATGCTGTACAGTCTGCACACTCCCTCCTTTATCTCCTTCACTTGCCAGCACAACTCCTCCAAGACAGCACAGCTCCTGCAGGACAGAGGGCTGTCTCTCCCGGCCTCAGGGAGGAGTCCCTGACACCTCCTGCAGTCTGGAACTTGGAGGGCTGCAAGCCCCTCTGCCCCCAGCAAGCCAGTCTGTGTGGAAGCCTCTGCCCTAGGAGGGACAGCTGTTCTTACATCTACTGAGGAAGCTGCCCTATTACCATCATGCCTGAGTGCAGCACAGTT